GAATCATTGCCGTCCTGTAGGAAACAAAAAAGTGAAACCATAAAAGTCTTCAAAAATACATAACTCAATTTATAAAATTTACAATTAAGTCCTAAGTAACAAGCCTCCTTATGCCTAACTGTAGAGTTCAAAAAGAAAAAAGTAAAATAATCAAACTCACTCATCACTTCTCTATCTTAAATTGTTTAGAATAGACTGTTAACAGTTATATTCTCTAAGGCAGTGTTTCCCAAAGTGCATATTCTATTCTCTAGAGCAGTGTTTCCCAAAGTGTGGTATGCGTACCCCCAGAGTTTGGTGGGGGTACGCGTTGCACCGGAGTTTGGTGGGGATATGCACTGCACCGTGCTTAGCTGCGCCTAATTCTACGTTCTCATGAGTAAGAGGGGTACTCAGCGTTACAAAAAATTATAGAAGGGGTACACATATGTCAAAAGTTTGGGAAACACTGCGTTAAGGTGTCATTACATGGCCTGGATTATACAACAGGTGACCAATTATACCCAAACTATTAAATAAGTCCCAACCAATTGAATATAGGATGTAACAGAAAAATGCAATTGTTCCTTCAATAAATATGCCAAATAATGAGAGATCAAAATGTTCTTATGCCAACAATGTTGCTGAAATGCAAAAATACTTTTTGGCCTAAATTTCACTATTTTGAGCTTCAAGGTTATCACATTATTTGTGGCTTGCAGATGCGTTTGATTTTTTTTTTTTTTTTAACTAGGAAAAGTTTTTAGGAAGTTATTCAAGTTATTAGGAAGCCATAGGTTTTCAAACTTTTGATAAAAAAAACCATACATAATGGTAAAGAGACTGATTTGATTGTATGGGTTACAAATAAGTCCTGAAAAACAAAAACAAAGCCCAAACCCTTCCTGAAATACTGCATACCCTAAGAAACTGCTCTGGCCAGCTGGTGTGGCTCAGTGGCTTCAGTGCTGTCCCCCACGGACCAAGAGGTCCTGGGTTTGATTCACTCTCAGGGCACATGCCTGGATCACTGGGTTCCATCCCCAGTAAAGGGGGTTGCAGGAGGCAGCCAATGTTTCTATCTTTTTCTCTCTTTTCCTTCCTCTCTACCTAAAAATCAATAAAAATAAAAAAATAAATAAACAGCGCAAAGGGCCAACATTCACTAGTGGTATAAGTTCTGGTACACTGGCTTGAAAATGTCCCTTGTTTCAGCTTCTCTCATGTTCCCACGGTATGATACCTGAGCTGTTGGACTTGGGCTTCAAGTGATACATGGTTTTCTCCTTAATAGCTCTTATTTGAGGTAGATGGGCAAGTATGAGATACAGGTAAAAAACAAGGGTTTTGCCCTGACTGGTTTGGCTCAGTGGATAGAGCATCAGCCTGCTGACTGAGAGGTTCCAGGTTTGATTCCGGTCAAGGGCAAGTACCTTGGTTGCAGGCACATCCCCGGTAGGAGGTATGCATGAGGCAGCTGATCACGTTTCTCTCTCATTGATGTTTCTAACTCACCTCTCCCTTCCTCTCTGTAAAAAATCAATAGAATATACTTTAAAAAACAAGGATTTCTGTGAAGTCTGGTATAACTTCCAGCAGTTTTCTGTGAGCTTCTCTTCAATTAGCAAAATAAACTGAGGCCATAGTTAAAACGCCTTAAATAATAATTGTACAAAGAGCACACTAAGGCCTGTCTTGTATGTAAACTCTAGAACTGTAACTGCCCTAGAGTCCTAAACTGAATAACAGCAGTAGAGCGATTGAACGAGTCATCCTGTATCTCTTAAGGTGAGTTTTAGATCCCAAACACCGAGAATGAAAAACTCACTAATAATTTCCAAAATATATAAGGAATCATACAGCTTAATGGAAGACAAACAATCAATTAAAAAATGGGTAAAGGATCTAACTCAAGCATGTCAAATTTGCAGCCCACGTTTATTTAAACAAGGCCCGCCGGCTGCGAGTTTGACATGCTTGACCTCAATAGATACTTTTCCAAAGTGAACATATAGATAGATGGCTTAGAGACATATGAAAAAATCCTCAAAGCCACTGATAATCAGAGATGCAAATTAAAATTACAATGAGGTATCATCTCACACCTGTCATAATGGCTACCAGCAACAAACCAACAAATGACAAGTACTAGTGAGGATGTGTAGAAAAAAGAACCCTAGTACACCCTGGTGGGAATGCAGACTGGTGCAACATTATGGAAAACAGTATGGAGTTTCCTCAAAAAATTAAATATGGAACTGCCATTTGACCCAGTGATTCCACTTCTGGAATATATCCTAAGAAATCCAAAACACCAGTCAGAAAGAATGTATGACTCCTATGTTCATCATAGCAGCACAACTTACAATAGCTAAGATCTGGAAACAGCCCAAGTACCTATCAGTAGATGAGTGGATAAAAAGCTATGGTACATTTATACCACGAAATACTATGCATCAGTAAAAAAGGAAAACCTTTTATCCTTTAAGACAGTACAGAGGGACCTGGAGAGTATCATGCTCAGTGAAATAAGTGTGTCAGAGAAAGAGAAGTATCACATGATCTCACTCATATGTGGACTCTAATTAACAAAATAAACTGATGGAGTAGATTCAAAGACATGGAAGCATGGAACAGAGTGTGGAATCTCAAAGGAAATGCGGGTGGTTGGAGGTAATTAACCAAAGACCTTGTAAGCATATATGCATAACCCATGGGCACAGACAATACGCTAGTGAAGGCCTGGGACAGGGGGTGGACTAGAGGGGGTCATTGGAGGCAAAGATAGAACATATGTGATACTTTAAACAATAAAGAATTATTAAAAAGGAAAGAAAAACTCACCAAGATAATTTAGATTGGTGACAATGAAAATGCATCATTCCCTATAAAGGCTGTGAGTTACATTTGCAAAGAGTTCCCATGTGTCTAAGAAACTGTATTTTAGGATTAGAGTTACTTTTAAATATATATCTGAACTACAAAACTTTATTAGGATAATATTTATATTTTAGACTCCCTTTAAGAGTCAAAATGTTTTTCAATATAGCAAAATAGGTCTCCTGTTACATACACACTTATAAGATGATGAGCACGTAAAATGTTAAAAGTAATTGTTATGGTTCCTGATACCAAACTTAGAATGGCTAGAAAGAAATTATAGATTGAAGAGAACCAATTTAAATAGGAGAGCACAAACTCAAAAGTGAAACCAACTTAAGAGTGGAAGACTAATATTTCTCCCACTTGTATAAACTAAATTAAAAATTACCTTACATAAACACCAGCTTTAACTGAAAACTGACTGCTGGGACCGGTTTGGCTCAATGGATAGAGCACTGGCTTGGGGACTGAAGGGTCCCGGGTTCGATTCTAGTCAAGGGCATGTACCTTGGTTGCGGGCATATCCCCAGTAGGGGGTGTGCAAGAGGCAGCTGATCGATGACTCTCTCATTGATGTTTCTAATTCTCTCTCTCTCTCCTTCCTCTCTGTACAAAATCAATAAAATATATTAAAAAATAATAATAATAATAATAAAAAATAACTGAAAACTGACTGATCATGTTGCCAAAATGGATCATGAAAGGCCTGTATCCCCTTAACAGAAGATGCTTACAAGGAGAATTAAAGCTTAGTCTTTTGAAGTACAAGAAAAAGTTATAAAAGTTCTTCCACTGCAAGAAATGATCAAAACCAGAACAAAACTATCTTAGAAACTTGAATGTGATCCAAACCTAGAGCTCAGAAACAGGGGCAGCAAATAACAGAGGGAGAGGAAAAGCAGGATTAGTAATCCTTTGGTCTATAAATCTGATTTCTTAATCCTAGAACTTTTTTTTTTTAAAGATTTTTTAAAAAACTATATTTTATTGATTTTCTTTACAAAGAATGGAGAAGGAAAGGGATAGAGAGTTAGAAACATTAATAAGAGAGAAACATCAATTCAGCTACTTCCTACACACTCCCCAATGGGGATGAGTCCGCAACCAAGTTACATGACCCTGACGGGAATTGAACCCGGGACCCTTCAGTCCGCAGGATGAAACTCCATTCACTGAGCCAAACCAGCCAGGACTAATCCTAGAAATTTTAACATCTGTTGATAATCAGATGAGATATATATATATAATATACATACACACATATATATATATATATAAACTTTCAAATATTAAAGCAGTGCTGTTTAACAGTATTTTCTGTGATGATGAAAGTGTTCTATTTCTGCACTAATATGTTAGTCTCTGGACACATGTGGTCAATATGACTAAGAATCTGAGTTTTTAAGTCAAATTAAATTTTAATTAACTTAAATTTAAATAGCCACATGCAATCACGCCTAGTGTATTGGAAAACACAAATCTAAAGCACATATTTGTAAATATTCAATATAGCAAACATATTCACTCAGTTTTATTTTGGGCAAATTTAATAATACCTCAATTTAATAATACCTCAATTGTGCCACCTCCAGACATTTCAAAATAAACTCTGGGGAAGATAGTACTCGTGAACAATAATATGTCAGTAAATAACTAGGTGCTAATGCTAGAAGATCCTCAGATAAGATAGACTACTGCCATTTCTCTTTGATTCAGGTCTTGAGAAACATGAAAACCATCAATGTAGTCACTTAGACTACAGATAACGTCTTAGAATATTTGTTTTATTTTTTAATCGAAGGTGATAATTTTGTTCTCACTTAATTATAATACAAAATGTAGTCACATTCATATAGGACACTAATAAATAATGGCATTCTTGCCTACCTGCAAGTAGGAAAGAGGGAAATGAAGGAGAAAGACCCACACTTCACAATAGACAAGGAATGGCACAAGGTGACCTACTCAAAAACAAACACATGAGGAAGTCCAAAAGGAAGGAGAGGCAATGCCTAATAGAATCCACCTGAGTGTTCTATAGTTGTGCAACATGTGAGTCAATTTTGGCCAGTAACTCAATTATTAATAACTCTTACTGAATTATTTCAAGGCACAACATTAGAATAACTTGAGCATACCTGATTTGAAGACATATTCTCAGCTTTCATTAGTGATGAATAGCTCCTGGAAGAAAAAACACATTTAAAATAAGGTTACCCAGCTGGTAAGAATTACTCAAATATTGCATGTATCTAGCACTGCTGAGGGTCTTTCGAAAACAAAAATACAATCCCTGTCCTCAAGGAGACTACAATATAAAAAGGATAAATATCTACAAACAATAAGATGTTCACAGCACTTTCATAGTTTACGAAGCACTCATACTCAATAACTGTGTGGAAGTGGCATTATACAAATGAGGAAATTCACCTATAGCCAAGGGCAGATATGATTCATATATCCATATCCAACTCATGGTCTTCCTCACTATAAAAAATTATTGGTGCCTTGGCTGGTGTGGGTCAGTGGTTAGAATGTCAGCCCATGCACCTAAGGGCCTTGGGTTTGATTCCTGGAGCTGGTTGCAGGTTCAATCCCCAACCCCGGTTGGGGTATGTGTGGGTGAAATGCATCAATGTGTCTCTCTCACACTGATGTTTCTCTCTTTCTCTCCTTCCCTTCCTTCCACTCTCTCAAGAAAAGAAAAAAAAGAAAAGAAAAGAAAAAATATCATTGGGTGAAGATTAACAAAGAAAACAACAAAAAGAAAAGGCTGAGCTCTTTTCCAGTATTCTCTACCTTAAGGAATTGCATTACTATCCATATTCCATTCCCCAAACCAGAAACCCAAAAGTCATTCTTTTCTTTCCTTTTCTTTTTTTAAATATTTTATTGATTTTTCACAGAGAGGAAGAGAGAGGGATAGAGAGTTAGAAACATTGATGAGAGAGAATCATCGATCAGCTGCCTCTTACACACCCCCTACTGGAGATGTGCCCACAACCAAGGTACATGCCCTTGACCGGAATTGAACCCGGGACCTTTCAGTCTCCAGGCTGACGCTCTATCCACTGAGCCAAACCGGTCCCGGCCAGGAGTCATTCTTTCTCTGTCTCTCCCCTAAATTCAATCTATCTTCATTCATATCCTGCCAAAATTTCTTGTCATTGGTCCACCTCTCTCCACCTCCCATCATCACCACAGTCCAAGGTACCTGTCACATGAACAACTGCAATAGCGTCCTAAGTGGCCTAGCCACAACCACCCGACTCCCATTCCAAAACACAAAACTATGACTCTACCTCTTGCTTAATGACCTTACAAAACTCTCAGGATGAAGACAAACATGGTCAATGAGGCCCCGCATGGACTGGCACCCTGACTCAGTGATCCCTCAGGCCAGATGCTTCAGACATATTTTTCTATTTTTAGCCCCGTGTTTTGCCTTGCTCCCTCTTTACATACATGGTTCCCTCTACTAAGAGCTCTCTTTCTATCCCACCTCTACCCCCACCCCCTTTAACCAGCAAACAGTCTTGATCTTAGCTCAAGAGTCACTGCATAAGGGAAGCTAATCTCAGTTACTTATTCATCTATAAAATACTGACTAATCATCCACTGCATATGCAAAGCACTGGGTCACATATAAGAAGATACAAGGATGTATGTAAGTGCTTCTCTGAAAGACCTTACCATTAAAACGAAGAGCTATGGCATAGAGCATTATTTATAGAAGGCAGCGTGGTAGTGTGTCAGAGAGAAAAGGAGTACAATTACAGCAGTCAATTCCACATTAGACTATATCATCCTTTTAATCAATTATCTCACCATTACCTCTTCCTACGTGTTGCCACTAAAATCCTCATTCTTACAAGTCTACTTCCTACTAATATCCCAAGAATATTATAATATCAATTACAACATGAAATTTTAGACTTAAAGCTTTTTATTTTTTTAAATTTCCCTAAGTACAACCTTGACTCTCAAGTTAACCTTGTTAACTTGTTCATCCTTGTCTTATAGGCAGCATGGTACAGTCACAGTATGGACTTCAGAATTACAGACTTGAGTTTGAACTCCTGCTTTGCTATTTATCAACTATAACCTCCTTGCTGAAGTAATCTTTGCCTCCAAATCAAGTTCACGTCAATGTTCAAACTGATGATACGTATACCTGTGTGACTTGCCATTTTACCTGGGTCTTGTACTTCTGACTTTAATCACCTGAGCCTTAGGTTCCAATTCTGATCTCCCAGACAGCCACTTTAAATATCCCTATCTCAGGTAGCCATATACTCTTTGTCTTTTCTGATCTGTTTCTCACTTATCCTCTAATAACTACATTACCCTGACTCTTGTTTATTTCAACATCCACATGGTGAGCTTGATTCTGATGTGATACGTTTGCCACAAAAGCCAAATAAGAGAATACAAAATTAAAATAGAACAGGTAAGCTTTCACTGGATTATATTACTAGATGTGACCACTGAGGACTTACAAAAACTTTAATATCATAACTTGTTGCCCAATATTTAGGGTTTTTTTTTGCAGCTTGAGCTCTGAAGCTGCTTACAAAGCACAACTTTGCCCTCTGGGCTCCACTACCTGCAAACAGTCCCCTATGCCAACTGTACTGTTTGATAAATCATATTCTTCGTTATTGTCAATAAAAAAAAACAAAACACACCACTCCTTATACTGTAACTATGTGACCAAAAAAACCCTTTTGTTCAACATGCCTGGGCTGAAACTAGCATGTTGAGAAACACTTGATCATATGTTACCTGTCATTTTTACCACTGAGTCAAGTTGACAAGTTAAAAAGTCCAGTTGTCCACACCACTCAGAAAATAAATGATGTCAGTTTGTGGTCTTGTTTCCCCTAGCAAACCATCTCCTTAATCATCAGTTCCTTGTAGCTTCTAACTTCAAAAACCTGACCCTATTTTTACTGCAGCCCCCCGATTTTAGAGCATATTTTCAGTGCATACCTAGGGCTATGTTCCCTAGTTTGAAAATCATTATCTGAATAAATGTTTTAATTTCTCAAGAAGGATGCTCCAAACTTCTGTTTACATCACAAATTCAACTACTCAGATGAAACAATATTCCTATGGCACACTAAAGGGAGCGTGGTCACTCTTTCCTAGCATGTCAAGAATGGCAGCATCTTCTGCAACAGGGGTGGGGAACGGCCAGCCCCCAGGCCACATAAGGCCGGAGCCCTGCTAAGGCAGTAGGGGTGAGTTAATTAAATGTTTGACCAAATATGGCAAGCTAATTTTTAAACTGATAATTTTGTAAGGCCTGCGGATGATGTTATAAATACCCAACTGGCCCTTGGAAGAAAAAAAGGTTCCCCACCCAAGCTCTTTAAGTTCAGATGCTGCATCTGTACTAAGTTAAGATTAGTATTTATCTTTACATATCCACTCCTTTTTCATATTTTGCCTAACTCTAAGCAATAACATCCATAATCACAAGCTTTGACGTGCTGGTTTTTCTAATACTCATTGAAATAATTACACTGTTAAAACATGTCCATGGACATACTATCTACACTCATCTCATGTGGTACTAGTGATATTGTTACTCTTCAAGTGATTTGATCCTGAACTGTTAATTTATGATATGAGTAAATAATAAAATAATCACTCTCCAGAAAATTTTTTAAGAAGAAAAAGAAGTAGTAGTAGTAGTAGTAGTAGTAGTAGTAGAAGAGACTGTGTCTATGGTAGACTCACAGGTACCAGCCTAGAACAGTGGTCGCCAACCTTTCAAACCTCACGGACCACCAGTGGTCTATGACTACCGGTTGGCGATCGCTGGCCTAGAGGACTTCTCCAAACGCTCCTCTCTAAAACCAAATGTAGCTGAAGCCGGTTTGGCTCAGTGGAAGAGCGTCAGTCTGCGGACTGAAGGGTCCCAGGTTCGATTCCGATCAAGGGCATGTACATTGGTTGCGGGCACATCCCTAGTTGGGGGTGTGCAAGAGGCAGCTGGTCGATGTTTCTCTCTCATCGACGTTTCTAGCTCTCTATCTCTCTCCCTTCCTCTGTAAAAAATCAATAAAATATATTAAAACAACAACAACAAACAAACCAAATGTAGACTGAGTGAAAGACACTCTTAACGCTCCAGGCAAGATCACTTCCAAGGCTCCAAATCCTTTCAAAACCTATGTTGAGTCTCTTCTGCTACTTTCTCTTAACTCTATGTATGGCTTCCAGCATAGCAGGTAAGAAAAGGAAACCAATATGTGGCTTCCTCCTTATACCTAACCCTTTACAAAGATTCTCTAAACTAAAATTCCTAGATCTTAGGCTGAGGGCAAGTGTGAGCTAAAAAATAATGTCTAGTCCGGCTGGTGTGGTCAATGGTTGAGCACTGATCTATAAACGAAACTGACCTATGGTTCAATTTCTGGCCAGGGCAAATGCCCAGGTTGTGGGTTCGACCTCAATAGGGAGCATGCAAGAGCAGCCGATCTCTCTCTCTCATATTGATGTTTCTATCCCTCTCTTCCTCTCTGAAATCAATAAAAATATATTTTTAAAAAGCATATAAAAATTTAATTTAAAAAAATACTGTTGCCGAAACCGATTTGGCTCAATGGATAGAGTGTCGGCTTGGGGACTGAAAGGTCCCGGGTTCGATTCCAGTCAAGGGCATGTACCTTGGTTGCGGGCATATCCCCAGTGGGGGATGTGCAAGAGGCAGCTGGTCGATGACTCTCTCTCATCGATGTTTCTAGCTGTCTATCTCTCTCCCTTCCTCTCTGTACAAAATCAATAAAAACATATTAAAAAAAAAATACTGTCTATAGAAGTAACGAACAGAATAGATAAGTGAGAATATGTGAAGTCTAAGGGGAAAATTTTTATTATTGTTTAAATGAATAAAATGATTAATAGAAAGTGTTAATATATTGCTACTCTCTAGTCTTCACACTTTGGCACCCTCCCAACCACCCAAATATTTCTAAAAATTACCTAAAAAACGATGACCTTTGTGTAGATCTGTTTACATGACCGATCAGTATCATATCTGCTCACAGAGGACAAGGAGGAAAGTGCTTATTAGCAAGAACAAAACGGAGCTCCAGGGGCTTCTGTTCTTTCCATTGGAGAAGGAAGGCAGCACCTTCTTTGCCCTGTTTTGCTCCATTCATTTCTGAGCAGAGAGCTGATGGATATGATCCCGACCAGAGCTCAAACAACTCCCATCCACTTCTTCCCCGCCCCCCACCCCGGCAGTAGAAATTAAAGGTTTCCTGCCCTTCTTCTGCCCTTGTTCATAAAGTTAGAATGGAGTCCAGGGTCTAAATAATGGTTTCAGGATTGTTGGAATGTAGCTCTTCTGGATATTGGGCTAAGTACTTTTTCACTGAAACCATGTGGAAACACTGGGGATAGTGCCTGGGATAATAATATTTTCTTGATTTTATCTGTGGAATCCCCTGAAGATTCAAATGTCAATTTCTTAAGCAATCACAGCAACTTGACATTCTTTAACAGATGGTCCAAATAAAAGAATCACCCAGTTGGTTAAATTCAATGGTACTTTCATTGTCAGAAAGCCAAGAGAGAGACTTTAAAATAAAATTTTATAGTCAAAGCATTTGATCTCTTAGGTTGAAGAGTCAAAAGGCAGAAATTAAAGTGATGCCAGTATACAAATGTATAAAAATAAATTATAAAACATCAAAAACTTAGAATTTGTTGCTGGAATTTCACAAAACCTGCAGAATACAGCATGCAAACAGCAGCTCTGCACATGCCAAGTGAACCTTTGATATGTCACTGCTTCACATTCTTCTACCTTCTGCAGCATATGGAAGTCATTTTTGTGGCACATACTTCTCAGAAATGAACACACCAACTATTTTTGGTTTTCTGAGGCTCAGGGGAATTTATTAAAATAAAAGCAGCAAGGCCCTGGTGGGAGTGGCTCAGTGGTTGACAATCAACCTATGAACCACATCACAGTTTGATTCCGTGTCAGGGCGCATGACTGGATTTCGAGCTCAATAACCCAGTAGGGGGCATGCGGGAGGCAGCCGATCAATGATTCTCTCTTATTATGATTAATGATTCTCATTATTGATGTTTCTCTCTCTTCCTCTCCCTCTCCCTTCCTCTCTGAACTCAATAAAAATATTTAACAAACAAAACAAAAAATGAATAAACTCCTCTACTAGTAAATCCCACAATCACTCAAAATTTCAAAAATTTTAACACACTGATGAGTTGATCATTTCTCTTCCACTCCTAACAGAAAGCAGACTTGCAATTCTAGGTAATATCAAATGTTTAAATCTAGCATTAGTCAGATTCATGTTAGCAAATATAACCCAGGATAACACTTGGGAATTCTATGAAGTTCCTCATTTTATTTTAGCAGAATTCCCAACAGGAACATGTGTGTATATGGATAACTAATAAGTTCCAGTACTTGGTCATAATACCGAATTCTGACCCAATAATCTTTCTAATATTTCCAAGTATTCCAAAGAAACTGGGACATGGCAAGACAGCTAATTTTGTTACTATACCCTTCCCAAGAGTATAACACATCAATACCTTTCTCCCCCCTCCCCCCTTTTTGGTCCACTTATCACATGATATCTATGGATAACTAGGAAAATCTAGGAATTAGTCACAGAATTAATTTTCTTGCTATACATCTATATAGATTCAGTATGGTAGACAGATAACAATCCTACCCCAAGATGTTCACATGATAATCCCTAGAACCCATAAATATGTTATTTCATATGGCAAAAGGGACTATTCTGCATATGTGATAAAGTTAAGGATCTTAGATGGGAGAGTACCATAGGTTATCTGGATGCGCCCAATGTCATCACATTGGAACTTGAAAGCAAAAAAGCTGTGATCGAAGAGGGGACTATGACTATGGAAGAAGGTCAGAGATGCAATGTTACCAACTTTGAAGATGGAAGAAGGGGTCACAAGCCAAGAAATGTGGGTAGCTCTAACAGCGGAAAAGGAAACAGATTCTCCCCTAGAGCCCCAGAAAGGAACATAGCCCAGCCGACACCTGGATTTTAGCCCAGTAAGAACCACATCAAACTTCTAACATACAGAACTATAAAATAATAAATATAGGCTGTTTTAAACCACTATATTTGTGGTAATTTGGTATAGTAGCAATAGAAAATTAATACAGTTAAGTATTCTTATAGCCTTATAAACTAGTTTCAGGATCCAAATTATATTTTTAACTACTCTTTATTATTTAAAAATGTTGTGTTTTGATGCCCTGGCCAGTGTGGCTCAGTTGGTTGGAACGTTGACCTATGCACCACAAGATTGTCCGTTCGATTCCAATCAAGGCAATTACCCAGGTTGTGGGTTAGGTCCTCGGTCAGTATGTGTACAGGAGGCAACCGATCCATGTTTCTCTCTCTCTCAAGTTCAATAAAAAAACACATTTAAAAAAGAGTAGTGTTTTGAAGAAGAAATTAAAGATACAGACAACAATATGGTGATTACCATAGAGAAAGGGGGATGGGGGAAGTAGAAGAGGATATGAGGGGGGTTAAATGGTAATGGCAGTAGACTTGACTTCTGAAGTGGTGAACACACAATATACAGATGATATATTATACAACTGTACAACTGAAACCTATATAATTTTATTAACCAATGTTACCCCATAAATTCAATAAAAAAGAAAAAAAAATGCAGTGTTTTGGAGCAGACCTCACTACATTAATTACTTTGAACTTTCAAAATGTAAAACACATAAAATGTACAAAAAAGGTTTTAAAAACAATTTTTAAGAGTTACTAGCACTAGCCTTTAGAGTTAAGACAACTCTATTCAACTATCATAGCTAGTGAATGTTAAACAATTAATACAGCATCTTTTTTCCCCCTGAAGATGTTTACAAACCAAACTTTAAGGATAATTTATTATGGTTTATTCAAAAATAAAATTAGCCATTTTATTTCATACGCTCTTATATCCTGCCCTTATAAAAAGATAATTCACTTGACCAACCCAATATAAATGTATTTTTCTAACTCAGTTAAAGCTCTGAGCTTGTTTTATATCACTTTTTCCACCAGCATATCATTCTTTTTTTTTTTTTTAGGGTATCGTCCTGATTAAAATGACAGTGAAGAATCTTCAAGGTCAATACCAGTACTATAGCTCAAACATACCTAAGTTCATCCATTTCCCTCTTCTTCTTCATCTCTTCCTTTTCTCTCCTTTTCATTTCCTGAATTTGGGCTTTTTTCTCATTCCTTTCCTCCCGGTCTCTGCATTCCTTCTCTGCTGCTAGGTCTGGGAACCGCTCCGCTTTGGTCTTTTCTAATCTGTTCAAGATCTCATTTACTTTCTTCTCCACTGTCACAATTTTCACCTTCGAGGGAGACAAGGGGAAAATATTGAATCTTTATTATATGATTTCCCCGCAAGAACAGGGGAGGGGCTCTCCGGGGGCTCAGTCACCAGCTTAATTTTCCTTAAAAAACATACATCATGCTGAGCCCTCAACAACAAAGATGTTAGACGGAAAAGACGATACCCCCCTCAGGGGCAGGACGCCGCCTCCCTCGGTGGTGCAGGACACTTACATCCTTCTGCCTGTGAAAGCCTATCTGTCCCACGTCCATGTCAGCGGTTTTCTTCAGGTTAGACCATGGTGTATATACCACGTTGACGTTGTTCATCTTGCAGCCTGCCAAGAGAGACTATCTTCAACGTGCAGGCAGGATGGCACTGAGCAAAGTGTCCCCTTACCCACTGGCAGATCACCATAATCCAATGAAGGAAAAAGCTTAGATTGAACAAGGCATCAAGTGTTTCAAACTGCAAATCAACCACAAAAGGCAAATGGTAAAGTTGACAAACATAATTCAAGCAAAATCATGACAGTAGAAAGCAGGGTCCATGGGTTTGCTTTAGGGACTTCTGAAACTCCCTAAAATTGAATGCAAAACTTACTATATACGGTTTTTTAAGAGATTTGCTCAGATTCTCAGAGGAGTCCTTGATCCAATAAAAGATAAGCAGCAAGATAAAGCAAAATGCCATGGCCTGGGATTTAAGAGACCGGCACTCTATCCTGGCCCTACAACAAACCAGCTGTGCCACCGTGGGAAGTCCGCACAGCTCCCTGAATCTCATCTGAAACATGAGGTCACTGGACTTGTGTAGCAACATTTTTGTTTTTGTTTCTTTTAGCAGTGGAATCTCTTTTACCAAAGAAACATATCATACCTCTACGCCAACAGCCTTAGGCAGCTCAAAGAATCACAGGTTAGCCCTAGTTGATTTGGCTCAGTGGATAGTCCATTGGTCCTCAGACAGAGATCGGGATCCAATTCCGGTCAGTGGCATGTACCTCAGTTTCAGGCTCAATCCTGGTTGGGGTGCATCTGGGAGGCAACCAATCGATGTGTCTCTTTCACATCGATGTTACTCTCCGTCTCTCCCCCTCCCTTTCACTCTTTCTAAAAAAAATCAATGAAAAATATCCTAGGGTGAGGATTAACAACAAAAATTATCAGTTCAATTGTTGGTCCAACACTCTTTAAGGCCCTTCAAAATTAGACGGCAATATATTTCAGTTTATTAAATCACCAAGTACAATGGAGAAATCTGTGGCCACCACCTTAATTTGCTTATGAAGTATTACTGCCTGAAAATTTGTAATGCGATCCTATTCAAGAGGAAGCACCAGACCAATCTAAATCACGGGATATTCTACAATTGGTCTCCACTCTAAAAGTATTAGTGCCCTAAAAGACAAAGTGTCTCCAGATAAAAGGAGAGTAGAGAGACATGACAAGTAAATATAACACATGATCCTGGATTAGAAAAATGCTATGAAGAGACAGTAGTAGAACACTAGGAAAACTTATATATAGACGGTATATGAGATAACTGATAGCATAAATATATAGTATTTATAAAAGCTGCAATAGTATACAGGAATATTCTAGGCCTTCACTCATCACTAGGCCTTTACATTCTCTCACTTAATGACTTACTCAGAGCAGTTTCCAGTCCTGAAAGTTACATTCATGATAAGCACCCCATACAGATGTACCATTTTTCATCTTTTATACCACTTTTTTTTTTTAATTGATTTTTTACAGAAAGGGAGAGAGATAGAGAGTTAGAAACATTGATGAGAAACACTGATCAGCTGCCTCCTGCACACCCCCTGCTGGGAATGTGCCTGCAACCAAGATACATGCCCTTGACCAGAATCGAACCTGGGACCCCTCAGTTTGCAGGCTGATGCTCTATCCACTGAGCCAAACCAGTTTCAGCCATTCGTTTCTTCCTTTTTTTTAATTTATTTTTTATTTTTTAATTTATTGATTTTTTACAGAGAATAAGGGCAGAGGGATAAAGAGCTAGAAACATTGATGAGAAACATCGACCAGCTGCCTCCTGCACATCCCCCACAGAGGATGTGCCCGCAATCAAGGTACATGCCCTTGACGAATCGAACCTAGAACCCTTTAGTCCGTAGGCTGACACTCTATCCACTGAGCCAAACCAGCTTCGGCTATACCACATTTTTTTTTTTTTAAATGTATCTTATTGATTTTACACAGAGAGGAATTGAGAGAGACAGAGAGTTAGAAACATCGATGAGAGAGAAACATCGACCAGCTGCTTCTTGCACACCCCCCACTGGGGATGTGCCCGCAACCAAGGTACATGCCTTTGACTGGAATCGAACCCCGGACCTTTCAGTCCACAGGCCGACGTTCTATCCACTGAGCCAACCCGGTCCTGGCTATACCACATTTTTTAATTGTATCTTTTCTATGTTTACACACACAGATACTTATGATTGTGCTACAGTATTTACTAGTTGAACATGCTGTACAGATTTGTAGCCTAGCAGCAACTGGCTACATGTGTATTCTATTCTATCCAGGTTTATATAAGTTCACTGTATGATGTTTGTACAATGACAAAATTGCCTAATGATGCGTTTCTCAGAACACATGTCCATCATTAAATGACACATGACTGAATAAGCAAATGTAGAAAAACAGCAAATACTTGGTTTGGCTGGAGTGTGAAATATGTGCAGGGAAAAGGAATTATGTAGTCAGATCAAAGAGGCTTAATGCCAGCTTAAGAAGTCTGGATTTAATTGTATAGACAAGGTGAGGGTGTCATGAAATATCTAAGCTTTTAGAAAGTTTAATCTGGCAAGAGAGTAAAGATGAATATAAAACAGGCTGACCTGACTCTATGAATACAAACAAGTTTAACCCCAAGTCCCTGGGTTCTGAGTGCTGAAGGTGGTCAACCACGGAGGAAAATATTTTAACCACTCAGTGACACAAATGGAGAGTACTGAGCAAAGCTCACAGCAAAGAAAATCTCCTTCACTCTTCAGCATCCTCTACTATTGACTCACAAGAGTGAAGCTCTTAGTTAGACCCAGCTCCTTTTTCTGCTAAGTGAGCTGTCGCTGTGTAAGGCTGAAGAGAAGAAGAATTCTGTGTCATGACTCTTACCTTTTTCTGTTTTCTCTAAAACTAGTGATCTATAGAGATTAAGAAAAAAGAGGCTGGGCCAAGAATAAAGAATCCAAAGCTCTTTTAATAAAGTCACATTTGCCAGCCAGGGGCATGGAAATGGGACAAGAACATGTGAAAGGGGTTGCAACAAACAAGAAAAGAGAATATAAGTTTTAGTTTGTATTATTTTTTTATGTGAATAAGACAGGCACCAAGCCCAGTATTACAGACCCTACCTGAAACATTTATCACCAATTCTCATTTCTCTCTGCACATAAGAATCACCTGGAGAGCATATCAAGCATACCTATACTCACAGATTGCCCCAGACCAATTAAACAAGATTCTTTGGGGAATAAGCAACTGATTTGATACCTTCACAATTTATAGGGAGAACAAAATAAGGAGAGAAGGTAAGAAGTGAAAGCAAGAGTGATTTGGAGACTTGAGTTCTAGTATCTAATGGCAAAGAGTGGAAATAAAGACATCAAACAACATAAAAATAAAGCCGTGAGAGACATTTCTTGCTTAGCTATTAACATATCCTGATTTCTGAAAGTCTACAAATAATATTAAAGGTAGGCAAGTATAGGCAACTTACTATTCAAGGTAAGAAAAACAAACCTGGCCAGCATGGCTCAGTGGTTGAGTGTAGACCTATGAACCAGGAGGTCACAATTCGATTCCCTGTCAGGGGACACGCCCCGGTTGTGGGCTCAATCCCCAGTGGGGGGTATGTAGGAGGCAGCTGATCAATGATTCTATCTCATCATTGATGTTTCTCTCTCCCTCTCCCTCTCCTTTCCTCTCTGAAATTATATATGAAAAACAAGGTAAAAGAATTGAGGCAGGGCCATAAACATTAGAGGGGTGGGGAGATTACTTTTTAGTTCTTTGATAGGTAGCAGAAATTCCATCTGAAAGAACAAAACAGGGCAAAGGCATATTACATGGCAGTCCTTTCACTCAAGCCGAAGTCAGGAATATTTTCTCTAAAATGTAATCCATTTCAGACACAGGGAAATCATTGCTAAGTCTGAAAGCACTTCGAGGAAAACTGACCTTGAATGCTATTGGCCTTCACAAGATGGGCACAGTCCATCAATACTTCCTTGGGAATGTCTTCTATGTTCTCCCCCTGAAACACAAAGATATCCAAATGTTCTACTATGTTGTTACTGATGGATTTTAGAGCACTCATTGGGCTTTGCTGACTTACCAGGAACAATTTTATTAAAAGCAGAGGCTCTTCAACTGTTTCAGAACATTGAAAACTGAAGCCTGTTACAGGAATGTTTACTTAAACTGAGAGAAGGCAGTGATATAGAAAGTACTGATACATGATAAGTAAAAAATACAAACACAGGGTATAAAAGAAAACTACCAAAATATTAACTATGTGTGAGTAATTTCTTTCTTCTTCTCATTCTTACTTCTAGAAACGTTGTGCGGAAATGGTGTCTATTTTGACAACTGGATGTCTTCTTAGCTGAGGTCCCTACAACGTTCCTCTCAAAGAGACACCTTATAGCTTTGGATCTCAAATATCTACCGTGTTTCCCCGAAAATAAGACATCCTCCGAAAATAAGACCTAGCGCATGGAAAGATAAGACATCCCCTGAAAATAAGACCTAGCGCAACTTTGGGAGAAAAAAATTAATATAAGACACTGTCTTATTTTTGGGGAAACATGGTAGTAGGTCATCTATCCTTAGCCTTAATCAGGAAGCAACTCTTTGGTATGTTAAATAAAACCACTCACTATAAGGAAGAAATATTATGGATTCTATTCTCTACAGATAATGTATCAAAGTCAAAATTGAATACCGTATTTTCCGGCATATAAGATGACCCCCTAATTTTACAGTTAAAACATAGGTTTAGGCCTATATTCGCTGTATAAGACTACCCCCCACTTCCGAGGCAACACCATTTCAGAAGAAAAATATTTCAGAGGCAAGAGCAAATGGAAATCAGCCCAGTATTGACTCCTCGTAGGCATGGGATTACAAAAGAGTTCTGTCTGGGATTGAAATGTTCTACCTACATAGATACTTGAGATAAATTAAGTGTATTCCATTATGTTCCTACACATTTTCTTTACATTCAATGATTTAAATGGGAATCTCTCAAATATATAAATTTTGACACAAAACCGAGTGATTTAAGTGTCACTACTTTAGTGATGTATCTCATTCTTAATGTCAGGATATTTCCCGTCTTACTATAATACTTCTGGCTGTCACTATTCCTGGAGCAATCTCCACTTCTATTTTGCAACTTCTAATATAATATGAGCAGAAAAACAAACCTCACTCAACTTAGCATTATTCATAAAGTCAGAGCAAACAAATTGGAGAATCTAAGGAACTCTCAAGATGTAAAGATCAGAATTTTAACTGTGGGCTTTGTGCCATCTATGTTAATATGATAAGAAACCTCTAGATAAGTGAGATTTTTCTATGGGTTTCTAAAAATAAAGGAAACCTAGGAAAGAGCACAGTTGAATATCTATGATCTTCAATATTTGAGCTGTATTCAACTGAATTCAGTGAAAAAGAGAAAGAAAAGAAAAGAGAAAGAAAAGAAAAGCCTACAGTGCTTAGCATGTGACAGGTATTATTCTAAGTCAGTGGTTGGGAAACTCAATAGTCAACAGAGCCAAATATCAACAGTACAACAATGGAAATTTCTTTTGAGAGCCGAAAACCGACTTCTGCGCATGGGCCACGGAGTTTTAATCGCACTGTACATGTGCGTGCCTGCATGTGGTATTTTGTGGAAGAGCCACACTCAAGGGGCCAGAGAATCACAACTGGCTCGCAAGCCGCAGTTTGCCAACCACTGTTCTAAGTGGTTCAGATAGATAAGCTCATTTAATCTTCACAATCCTATCTATACTAATAAAAGGGTAATAAGCTAATTAGACTGGACATCTTCCTACAGTCCGACTTCCTTCTGGACAAAGCCATAGTGGTGAGGGCCGAGGGAGAGACAGTTAGGGGCAATCACCAGTAGGGGAGGGCAGTTGAAGGCTGTGAGGCCAGCAGGGGAGGGCAGTTGGAGGCTGTGAGGCCAGCAGGGGAGGGCAATTGGGGCCATGAGGAGCAGTTAGGCAGCAATCAAGCCAGCAGGCAGGAAAGTGCTTAGGAGTCAGCGGTCCCAGATTGTGAGAGGGATGTCCGACTGCTGGTTTAGGCCCCATCCCACATGGGGTCTAAACCGGTAGTCTGACATCCCCCGAGGGGTGCCAGATTGGAGAAGGCGCAGGCCAGGCTGAGGGACCACCCCCTTGTGCATGAATTTCTTGCACTAGGCCTCTAGTCCTATATAATAAAAGGATAATATGCAAATAGACCAAACAGTGAAACGACTAGTTGCTATGACACACACTAACCATCAGGGGGCATACACTCAACGCAGGAGCTTCTCCCTGGTGTTCAGTGTGCTCCCACAGGGGAGTGTTGTTCAGTCAGAAGACCAGAAACCGGGTTCACTGCTAGTAAGCACAGAAGCGGTGGTGGGAGCCTCCGCTAAGGATGTCCTGCTGCCTAAGCCATCAATTGGACATCCCCTAAGGGCTTCTGGACTGTGAGAAGGCACAGGCC